AAAAGAGGCAGAGTACGTTAGCGCTCAAGGACTTTCACAACCTCACGGGGAAACATTTGGCGAATGGAGATAAAGAAATGATTTCTGTTTGTTTGTATAGTAGATTTATCATAATCTGTAAGCACGGCCAAGTATCATAATAAACACTCAACTACTACAAATAGAGTGAAGTGGATAAAGCGAAAGAATAGAATACGCAATTGAAGCACAGGGTGTAACACTTTATAAAACCGCGGCCTGTTTTTCTTTCTAGTAAAATTAAAACCTAATTGGGTTTACATCCGAAATGCTTTTATTGGATGCAAGAACTCTAATTAATCAGCAAATCCTTTTTATCTGCACTGCAAACTTTCACAAGCAGTAACAATAGCTGTTCCTCTTTATTTTATATGTAAACAAAATATTACATTTACAAGGGTAGCTTGTGTTCTTATACAACGAGCCAACCAATAATATATTATACGTGAATCACTCGCAATATGCGCAAGGGCCAGTTTATACACCTCCTTTATACTTCGGAGTGCGCTGACATAAAAGTAGGCGAAAAGCCGTCGGGTAATTTTTCACGCTACACAGACTCAGGCGCAAGCGGGAGGTTCGTTGTTCATTGCCGGATGCAAAAGAAAAAAATGTTTTGACCGGAGGAGTAATTCAATCGCAGGTTCACGTCGCAATTTTTCTAACGAAAACCCAAGCAGGAAAGTCAGGTTATCGAACCTTAAACCAGCCGGCTCCGTGCCAACAAACCCTATACACCCCGCGCTTGCGTCATCGTCGAAACTTGATTTGTATATCCGCCGACGCGCAAGCTTTGTTCATGAGAAGGGGAGGCGGACGAGAAGTTTTACGTAACATGGGCAAGAAGGTAGCAGCGGATGCTTCTACGAGGAAGGCCGATCACTTGTATGCAGAAACTTGGTGGATTGTAAACACTTTCTGAAAATGCCTCGGCAGCAGTTTGTTGCGAAACCGTATACGGCGTCATAAAGTGATATACGACGCTGGGGCCATCCAGCTCCTACGCAACCTTGGAATGCCTCCGAATCTCGCGTATGTTTACGGTTCGCTCATTCTCGAAAAGGCTCTGTTTACGGAGTAACGCAGTTAGAGGAATGACGGACGATATGTCCTTCCTCGAAAGACGAAATTGGAACGAGATCTGCGAGAGCATGCATCTCCGTAAGACGCTGCGAATGTTCCGTTTGTTGCTCCGTTCGTTTGTTGAGGGAGAATTCAAGGGCTCTTAAATAGGTGCACAGTTCATTCTAAAAGATCCGGTACGTCTATATTCCCGCGAAGCGCTCTGGCGAGCCAATCAGGGCGATCTCCGGAGAAAGCTCGGCGAAGGATTGGTCTAATAATACCGACCTCTACCGGAAATTGAACGCTTTGCAAAGCATGGGAATGTGGTCACTGAAGTTTTGAACTGACGCCAAAAATATCGCACTAAAAATAAGAACGATGTAGGTGAACGTCGGCAGATAAGGAATTACTGAGTCTCCTGAAAATTGGGAATACACGACATAAATTAACATCGAAAAGAGATTTCAGGATTTTTCATTCGAATATGACTTAATAAAAATTACAAAGATCTATATTTTTTTTTATTTTAGTAGTTAGTTTTTGTTGTTTCATTGGGCTCTACGTATTTGCTTTTGTTTTAATCTGTTGTATAATGATTTTGTTTGTGTGTATGCAGAGATTTTGTTTTTATGCATTCAGTGTGCTGTATGCCTTTGTAATCTTCATTTGTATAATTTTCGGGGGAGGGAGCAGCTCATTAAGATGATTTCTTAGGTTTTTTTCTCCTAACCGTCCCCACTGCTTTGATGGGAAATAAAGGTACTATTAACACCTATGGTAACAGGGTGTTTTCAGAAGTTTGGCCGACCATGTCCGGTGGCCATTTTGTAGTTTTTGCAAAAATAATATGTTTGGGGACCGATCAGAACAAAGCCGAAATTGGTTTTGCAAAAAATAATGTTAGTCTTTGCAGAAAAAGAAATAGGAGCACACTTAGTGCGAAGCGCTTTAAGCGAATTGCGCGAAGTTGGCATTTCCGTCATCTCTCGCAAAAACCCTGTCATAGCTACGAATCTAGAAATATTTACTCACAAACTACGTAAAAGGAGGATTGACTCAAAATATTTATCATTAAGTATCGACGTTGCTAATTTTCAGAGCAAAAATCACAAAAATGGCACATTCTGCAAAAATACTTACATTTAATATATTGATTCTCCGCATCTATAAACACCATATCTTTCAAATATTGTCAGCTTGTTCTCCTTTATTTTGTTAATATTGGTGTTAAATATTCTTGTCCTGGGTATCCGGAACAAATTTATGAGAAATGCTCAAATGAGGCATATTTAATAATTCTGATATTTTGTAAACTTAATTAAAGTAGAAGCCATCTTGGATTTTTTATCTCTCCTACATTAAGGCCAATGATAGGTACTTACAGGATCTGTAAAAACATGTTGCGTTATTTTTGTGTATTTGAAGATATAAAGCTAGAAATGTGACCAAATTGAGGCTACCGCAGAACCGTGAATGGGGCCTGTAGTTACACATAGATGACACATTAGGATTATTTTACAAATTGTAAAAATGCTCGAGAGTGGTCAGAAATAAACAAATTGACGGCACAGAGGCGGGCGGCGGCTTTAGAGTGATAATTCTCAGCGCGTTTTGGTGTAAGAGTTGGAGAAATTAACAACGTCCATACTTATAATGACAAACATTTTGAGTCAATCCTCCTTATACTCAGTGTGTCAGTAAATACTTCTAGACCGGTAGGCAGAACCGTGTTGTTGGGAGAGGGGACTTAAACGCCAACTTCGCGCAATTTGCGGAAAGCGCTTGGCACTGAGAGAATGCTTCTAATTTTTCCCTACAAGAAACGTTTTTTTTCGCAATACAAATTTCGGTTTTGTTCTCGTGGGCAATAAGTCTGCAGAACATTTTGTTCTGCAGACAGGTCATTGGACATGGTCGGCCGAATTTCTCTGAAAACACCTAACATTGTCGTCAGTTTTAGACACCGTTTTTTGTGCGCGGAAGGGTTCCGCGTCAAACACTCTAGCTCCCTTCTAAAGTTCTAAGATTTCTTATTATGTTTTGAAACTAATTGTAGCAGTAGATTACGGTAAAAAAAAAAAGTGTCACTGCTGCCCCGCGTCTGGAATCCAGTGGTTTTTTAGGAAGCCAAGTTTCGAGATACCTATCGAGTTTTTACAGCGAAGCTGTTTATGGCTAGGGTTCCGTAGATTTTTCCGTGTGCGTGACCAAAACATTACACTCGCACCACCACACGTGCAAGCCTTCCCCGTTATAAAAGGTTCGAAATAAATAACCAAATTAAAGTGTTGACGGACGCGCGTGCAAGATTCCATTTAATTTAGGCTTTTGCTTTAGAACGGTTACTGCTGCAGATGCTGCCACGTGCGGCGCGTGGAACCCCATTCCCTGCCATAGCCTCCTTTATACTCACAAAGCCTGGCAGTGCGGCGACAAAGCCACAGAGCGCCCGGCCTCAGATTTAGAACGGCAGGATCTGGTAGCACAGATCATTTCTCGGGGAACCTGGACGTCAGCGCACAGCTTTTTGCAGCGGTGAGGACCTGAAACATGTTTTTAAAACCCGACGAGAAAAGGAGTGGTAGCTCGAGAAACGGGAGGAGCACGAGCGGACATTCCATCGCTTGGAAGAAGTGCCTGTGTTTCGGCGTCTCGCCGCGGTGGGGCGCCTGTCATGTGGTTCTCCTCTCATCCGTTGTATGCCGCTCTGCCTTTTCGATTTCGGCGGCCGCTTCTCGTGGCAATCTGCCAGGCTTTGTTAGTATAGAAGAGGCTACGTCCCTGCATTCTCCTTGATGCTAGGGTACTTTTAGCAATAGGTCTATTCAGTAGATTAGAGTCATCAATAGGCACCATTTTCAAGATCAGTAGACCCTCAGGTAGATAACAAAGGTTTCTCAAAGATTTGCCGCTGTGCAACCAGCGTCGGCCATGTCTACGCTCGCACAGCCCTCTCTCTGTCGTCGTTCCGAGCGTTTGCGTGCCAAGTTTCCTTTTCTTCCGCTCTCCCTAGGTGGCGGTCGCGTCGCACGTGTCTAGTTTCCTCCGGCTCTTCGGGGCGGGTCTGTGTCGTGTGCTAAACAACTTCGCTGGTCATCAACCTTCACAAAGTGGATAGGCTCATAATTTTTCTTTTATATTTTATTCAGCAGTACCGTTTAACGGCTAATGCCGCTATCTCATTCGCTACAGAATGATAAGAAAATGCTAGCCGCGCCTGGCGTTCCTTAAGTTATCTTTGACTCTACGGTTACGCCAACAATAATATAACACGGTTTGGAAGTGCACGTCGGGGATGACGCTTGTTATTTGCTATACACAGTGTTGGCGGGAGGTAACGGCGTTACCGGTAACGCGTTACTTTCTTAGGTAACTTGTAAGGTACTTTTTACGTTTTAAAAACAGTAACGGGTAATGTAATTACATTACTTTTTTCGGTTAACACGTAAAGAAGTTACGTTACTCGTAACTTTTTCTTGCCAAGACTTAAAAAAATTACACTTTAATGTTTTCCGTGGTTTTAAGAGCCAAGTCATGTGAATTTTAAAGCTTTTCGCGTTTCTTTTTTTTTTGCGTTTTCTTTTTTGAGTATTTAGGTTAAAAGCCAAAAAGATAGAATATATCATGTTGCGTTCCTGCATGGACATGATGTTTCGTTAAATAGGGCGCTTATGCATAGCTGGCTCGTCAAAATAGTAAAACGTGTTCATTCTTAATTAAAAAAAGGAACCCGAAAGTGACGGGGGTTAATTTTTATCGGTAACGCTAACTCGTTCCTTTTAGTTTGAAGTAACGTAGGACGATAGCGCGTAATTTTTATTTACAAGTACCGAGTAATGCATTTCGTTACTTTTCTTCGCTAACGCCTACAACCGGTATAATTCCACGTATTCACAATTTTATATTTCTGTACGCAGATATTACAAGCAAAGGATCTTCCGTCGAAGGATTTCCTTGGCTCATCGGATCCTTACATCAAGCTCTACTTGCTACCGGATCGCCGGAAGAAATACCAGACACGAGTGAGTTATTTTGTTTGTTTTATTTGATTTTTCTTGTGGTTGTTTTCCTGTAGGTCCTCTGTTTTACAGGCACTTTCCCGTAAAGCATCTGGTAGAGGAAATCACAGCAATCTACTGAGGGTTCTGCCAGTATAACGAGTTTAAAAATAGTGTTTAGCCTAAACGAAAAGTATGCGCTCTGGCACTGGGTGTGACAATTCACCATGCTCAGTGCCACGATGCAGACAGCTTTTTTTTAGGTCTAGACATATTTTAATCCTCGTCCGTCGCCGAGCACCTTTCGTATGATTGTAGCGACTGACTATTTCAAGTGATTTGCGGGAAAACAGGCGCTCTAGATATATTAAAACGATATTGTCGTAGCTTATCACCTAGTTAGACAGGCACAGTTAACCGCAGCTAAGTGTGACTGAGGTCGGATTTAACTCCAGTTGAGAGTGCCCTGTTAATTAAGGTATATTTGCCAGTAACTGGTAACATTACTTAAGCTTAACTGCGGTTCATAAAGGCCGTCGGGCACCCTTAATCGCAGTAAAGTCTAACCTTAATCACACTTAAGAGCAGTTCGTTCATTCTAATGAAAGGTGTGAACACTCAATTCGCACTGTCTCCAGGTCCACCGCAAGAACCTCAACCCCGTGTTCAACGAGTCGTTTGTGTTCGCGATGCCGCTGGAGGAACTCCGGCACCGGACACTACAGTTCTCGGTGTACGACTTCGACCGATTCTCTCGGAACGACCTGATTGGTCACGTGATCGTCAAACGGCTCTACGAGCTCTGTGACGTTACACACGAGATGGAGTACATCATGGACATCGCTGGAGTACCACAGGTGAGCCACGTCATCAGTCATGGCTTAGTCATAGATGGATCGAAGCGGATACATAATCACCTCAATTAAACACGCCGCTTCCATCAGCAGTGCTCCCCCCCCCCCCCCCCCCCCCCCCCCGTCATTCATCCAGCCACCGTTCCTTGGGACGGCGGCTTCTATAATAACTAGATTTACACAAGTTATGAACTGCCCGAACTAGATGACGCTTCACTGTAGCGTATCCGAAAAATGCAGTTTTGAGATGCAGCCGCTTGATGGCGATTCAAACGACAGCTGGCGTACTTGAAGAAAGAGAGGGAAAGTGTTTCCCTCCGCGGGTATTCCACAAGTTAGTTGATCTAATAACGTTCATACATGGCTTTCACGTTACAGCATCGCACCATACTGATGAATCTTTCCAACTTGTGTTGAGAAAGTCAAATTCACTGGAGTGAAATGTATGCGGGTAAAGGTGCGCGTTCGACAGCAGGGACACCACAATGGCAGCTTATGTGAAGTCAGTGTTGCCTTACTAGATTACCTCACTTGTGAAACTCTCGCGAAGGAGGGTATTCACTCCTCTCTGCTTCTGTCCGCCTTTCGTTGTTTGAAGCACCATCTAGATCTTCGTTTCAAACCTGTGTGTTCCATAGAGTACGGTGAAACGACGTCAGACGTTGTGCTTTTACACATACGTATTCCATTGAATGCACCGCAGTTGCCATAGCAGCCGTTTTACCAAGTACGGTGGTAAGTAGATAAACGGAAGGCGAGCCGTGGTGGGAGAGGGGGTACTGCTCGGGGAAGCAGCGTCTATTAGCAGTTCCCTAACATAGCTAATCTGGTGGCGTATATCTATAATCAACTCGACGACAGCCTTTCGTCTTTTTTATTTTTTGCTAAGCTGTCGAGGTTAAACTACTTCTAACACTACTTCAGCCACGAACAGCATGTTGCGTGAGCATGTGGCTTCTCCTTGCGGCATATTCGTGCGCCCAACTGCAACTCGCATTAATGACTCTACGAAAACTAGGTCAGCCTTCATACAACGTTGCACAGACTAGTTGCACAAAGCAATGTTGCGCAAACATGCCCCCCTCCCCCCTACCCTCCAGGAAAGAAGAGGACAGAAAAAAGCTCGCGATACAAAAGAAGGATCTTGTGAAAGACGACGAATGGACGTCCTCATAAATTCAGAGCCCACCGGTCCCTGTCCTCGACCAATTATTCAGGAGCACACGCTGACGAAACGCGACAAACATGTCGCTTTCTTTTATGTTTTTTTTTCTTCTTCTTATTTTTATTTTGTGAGCCCTAGGCATCTGCGACGGGTTTTCTCTTTCATTGCGAGTGGAATTGTCACTCATATGTGGCGTCGAATAAACGAGGAAGACCTTAGGAGGTCCGCCGTTAAGGATGGAAGGTGATCACGGAAAGGTACCATTAGCAGACGTATTCTTTTTTGTCCTGTTTCTTCCGTCGCTTCTTTTTGTGTGTTTTTCCGCGCCGTGTGTCACCTCTATGGAATTAACTGAACATGTCAGAACTACTTCTACACTCGAAGTCTTGATGGGACGACCGCGTGATTCAAAAGGAGCGATGCCCCCCCCCCCCCCCTTGGAGGGACCGCATGAATCAATGCGTTAAATTATATAGCGCAAAGCGTATGTACAGAGGTGACGTACATCGTTCTTTTTTGCTTCAAAACTTCAAGAAAGAAACTTACTTAAGTAAAGAGGAAAGCATCGGAAAAATGATGTTCCTCCCCTCCCCCCCCCCCCCCCTCCCCCACCCCAACCCCAACCCCGGGCGTCCGTCTGCTAACAAACGGGTTGATTGGCGCAACAGCCGCCAGATGTAGGCAGGTCAGAGCGAGAGCCCAGACACCGGTCTTTGATAGCAGACGGTGTTTTGGAACCAAATGCGGCGCGAACGTTTTTGGTGTAGTGGATGATTTAATAATTATTTGTTCATGGAACAGACTGAATGGACACACAAAACGAAAAATAAGGATTCTTTGTCGGGCTGTTTTGGTCACGTGTCAACAGCTGACGCCATCTCTCGGCAGTTGCGTCACCCAGACACCTTTCATTTGCACGCAGCCGCCGTAGGCAGCAATTGCACACTCTTAGTTGTTTACTCTTTACACAGCTAAGCTTATTCTCTGAAATTCAGATACACAAAATATACCATCATCGTCATCCTCTATAAAAGAGCTTAGCGCGATACATTAAGAAACCGCTTTATGCAATCCCTTCGAAGGGCCAACGATTAATTTGATTCACGCGCCACAGTGCTTAGTTTTATGCGAGTCTGGAAAACAATTTTAGTAGAACTGTACGGTAGACTGCTCGACACGGTCAGCGTGAACAGGAGAGGGAAAAATATTTTTTGCAGTTTGCTCGAGGAAGGTTTTGGCGAACACTACAATCTACCGCCGAAAAGAGTGCGCAAGATAAGTGGACTCCATCACACAGCCGGCTTTGATGACTACAATTTGTTCGTGTGAGGAAAACTCCAACAAAATCGTTGTCCCCGAAATGACAAAAATAGCGATGCGTGAAAGAAGCAAAGCGAATTTCTATGCATTCCAACATTTGGGTCTAAAGACTCCACCCTCAGGAGGGCTGCTGACCCCTTCTATTCATTTATTGTCTGCGTTATTTTCTGCAGACAGTTTGTGTCAATATTCTATCGGGGAGAATAACCGGATCGACGAGTTTCCGTTTTCCTGCCTCAAACGCGCGCACTTGGGCGCCTCGGGAGCTTCGGGCGTGCAGGCGCAGCCAGAGCACGACGGAAGGCAGCGTGTGTATACAGAATCTAGCTTCGATGTCCAAAACAGGCGCCCCGCGCATTCCTACTGTTCTGTTTTAATTGGTAATAAGTTGAACATGCAATTATTTAGAATATGCAAAATCAAAACCGAACCGTATTAGAAAACATGCGGTGAGGTCGACTCTATATAGGAATACTTCTTTTAAGGGGAAAGCCTTACTTGTCCCATTACGCGAAAAGACGTCGGCGTTGTGCCCTAAAAATGGTCATAAAAATGTCATCAAGCACGTGTCGCCTAAGCTCAAAGAGGACGCAGCTCAGAAATAAAACACAAAGAAAAGCACAGCGATGCAGATGCCACGTCGCGGAAGGCGTGGGGGCGCTCCAGGTCAAAGTGGACGCGCCTCAGACATACGACACTAAGAAAAGCGCACAACGCAGATGCTTCGTCATGGAAGCCGTCGTGAAGCCGGCACAGTTCGCAGCGCCTGCGCAGTGGGGGAGTGTGATGTCACCGCTGGAGTGCCGTGTGAAAAAGGAGGAGGTGGCACGCTGTTTGTAGGAATGCGCTGCATGTAGGAATGCTTTGTGTCTCTGGCGAATTTTTTTTTTTTTTGTGTATATACTTCGTGCCAAATTAGTTATCTTTTGGGGATTCGTAAATTTATGGTTGGTTTAGAACGACCGATGGACACCCTTGACAGTATCTAGTGCTCAAAGTCGCATGGCTCCAGCGTTGACCTGACACGACGCCTATTAGTGCCTTTCAACTGGGAAGTGCCAGCGGACGATTCTCAATTAGCATTAAACTCAATTCAACCATTCATTTTTTTTTAATTTTTCAGCTGTAGTGGGTAATGACGCAAAGAATAATTAGCTGATCCCAAACGTCAAGTGCAGAAAACGCTTTGTAAGACTGTAGTGACTGAACACTTTAAGGTGTAGAAAAAGAACGTATCAGCGTTGCAAGCACTAGTGCAATTATGCGAACGAGGTCGGACAGATCTTTGTATTAGACAAAACCAGTGGCTATACACTTCGTTTCACATTAAACCTGACCGCAACCAACGCTGCGCAAAGACAGCGAGCGCATCATGACGATGCGCTTTTTCCGCCGTTTGATCGACTGCGTAGGGCCGTAGCGTCGGCTGCAGTGGGCCCTGCGGTTGCGCAAAAGCCAGATCTTAAGCAGAAAAAAAAAGTTACCACTTCATACCATTGTTTCGTTCAGGTCATAATACTTTTTCGATTAAGAAAGGCATAACAGATGTTCATCATTCATAATCTCCTAAGCTCTCAAGCACAATACGCTTTGGATCCCATCCTTTACCATCTCATTTCACTAAAACGAAGTTAAGAAGAGCATCATACATTTTAACCGCGGGGTTCTCGATGCTGCCCGGCCTTCTCGTTCGTCAGACTGAATCTTGGGGAGTCTAGGGGATCAAGTCCGAAGGATAAAATACAGAAAATAAAGCAAATAATGAGGTTGGATATAGTTTTAAACGCTAATGTTCCTGTTGTAACTGCAGCTTTTCAAGGTTGTTCGTAATGTTGAGCCTTTGTTTTCGGCCAAACCGAGACTCCATTAGAGCTTTCAGGCACCCCTAGAGAAGAGACTAAGTGCTTTTTTGGAGGAATTAGAAAGAGAGCGCCGTCCTTTCTCGGCCGAAATAATACCGCATTTCCATAATTTAGAAAAAAAAATTCACTTTTTACTTAGTGGGGTAATCTTGTCTGATTCCATTAACAATACTTTGTAAACCTTGAAATTTCAGATGGTAGCTTGCCGCGACTCGGGAAAACTTGAACATTAATGTCAATTCTAATTTCTAAAAGTGAGTCAGATCCCAGCCCTGGTGATGCGTGTTAAGTTATAAAAAGGGGATTATTCGGACACGTGGAGACTAATCTATTTCATGGTCGTCTGAATCCCGCCGTACGGTCTTTCATAATGTGGTAGCTGAAAGACGGGTTAGTACAGGCATTATTCTTTAACAAATTATTAAAGAGCTACATAAAAAAATATTCTGGAAGAAAAAGGTATTCTGAAATGCAGAGAATGGTGAAACCATTTGGCGGGTATTTCATTCTGCGCATTCCAGAGCTGTTTTTTTAATGTTTTTTTTTTTTTTTACAGATATGGTATTGGATAACTTCATGAATAAGCCTACATTGTTTCAATAAGTTAAATTTTGAAGTATTAAAGTCATCAGCAAAATCTTCTGTGAATTCTAATCCAGGCATTTTCAATTAATAAGTTTATTTGTACTGGAAAAGGTGTGGCACCAAATGCCGGACCAGGCGGATTTTTTAAATTTTTTTTTCATCGGCCACGAGTTGTGTAGGCGACACGAGTGGCACTATATTTCAGGCGAAAGTCACTTTATTTGTTTCTACATTTTCTTCATTACCACTAATAGATCGTTATTTTTGCGTCATCCCATGTTCACGATGATCTATGAAACAAAATGTTCAAATGAATGAATGCAAAATTTGTTAGATGCGAAGATTACTAGATGACCAAAGAGAAAAAAAAAATGGAAGTACCGGAGTAGATTTTTCGATACGCAAAGACTGCGAACACTTGAATTAAGAGACTAATAACAAATTCTGAATTTAAGGCAGAGACTCTCAATTTTAGCTTTACGCATCCACCGAAGATTTTCACGATATCTTAATAGAAGGCATTGCTCAGATTGGAATAGGAGCTTCTTTTACGCGGTCTAATATTTTTGATGTAGCGTTCTTAATGCTTTTATGTAAATTCCATTATAAACCTTTTTATTTGTTGCCGGTATAATCCGTGGTGAGATCGCACATTAGCCTAATAAAATGCATCAGGCAGCTTGACATGATAACTTACTTTAAACGGCCTGATACACTGGAGGAAGAACTGACACGGATGAGAAGTAACTCCCATTCTAGAACTTATTTTTTTTCTGGTTCCGTCATCAGCCCGCTTGATACAGCAACTTAGTTTAAATGGTCCGACACATTTGATCAGAAGGTTTCACAAATTAGACCTTACTCTTATTATTTACCTATCCATTTATGGGAACGCTGAGCCAATCGTTCCGGAACTAGTTTCGCATTCTAGGAGGACTCGCTCTTGGAAAACGACTCGGACCACTGACGGCCACCTTGTAGTAAATGCATTCGAAGACAGAGTGTTTTCTGAGTCCACCACAAGAAAGCGAAGGTACTCGTTTCACGCCGAGTTGCATAAAGAAAGAGTTCTGCCATTAATTTTGGTGGCCGGTATGAAAATAAGGGAACTCCATTGGCTGCACGAATGTAGGGCGGGTTCTTCCACCTATTTCCTGGCCATTCGCAAGTCGAGAACTGATGCCTGATGTATCGGTGGCACCCTCATGTGGTTTCTACCAGGATAGAGAATCGAAGTCGGCATGATATAATTCGTGATATAAGAAGTGAATCAAATCGTAATTTAAATCATCAAGTTTTACTATTGTAATTTAAATAAAACCTTTTCCCGAAAATATTCCCGAAAAGATTTGTTATTTACTGTTTTCCCATCAAGGTGCTTTCTATAAAAAAAGTGCTCGCATTCAGGTTTACAAAAAAAAAATCATCGCGCAAAAAAGGTTGAACACGAGTTCCTGGCTGAACACGAGTTCAGAACACGAGTTGTTCAGGGCTGAACAACTAGCTTCTCGCTGTCCAAACATACACGCAACATAATTACGAGAGCTGTTAATTTTTTTTTCAACTTCCAATGAACTAGTTAAAGAAAATAAGAGCGATGAAAACTATTTTACTATTCACAAAATGCAGGCATATACTCTAGCCACTTTTCCACTTAATCACTGCACAGATTTAAACAGTTATGGCGTGGCAGAATATTTTCGATGCCTTCCCCAAACAGGGGTGCTTCCAGGGCTTTTTTTAGTCATTCAGTAAGAACGTCACTCGCCACAGGTGTGTAATATGCACAGAGAAAACTGCATGAAGCATCGGGAAGGACGGAGAGACGTTTTTAATGATAAAGAGGTCTGGTGAACTTGCGTAGGAATGACTGATAATCGAGGCATTTCTTCACAATATCATGAAAATGACATTGTTTTGGGGAGATCCAGAAGCTTGTGCCACACCATATTAACTGCCTTAACCTGTGCGATGGTTATGTGGAGGAGATATTATATCATATACCTACATTCCGTGTATATTAGAAAAAAAAAAGATTCACCAGAATATTAATCCTTTTTATTAAAACAGAGAGAAAAAAAACCTCGTACCTTACAACTTTAGCAAGTCGCACTTCGCAAGCAAAGTCAGAAAATCGTTGCCCCACCGATTTTAACGCAGGCGGCGTCAACCCCGTCCTTGAAGCCAGGGCGGTATACCTGACGATGACAGGCGTCCACGAAGACATATTGACGTCTCCGTTTAGGGACATCGCGGCGGCTGCATTCTATATTACCCTTGGGCTTTCGGTCACGCCATCCGCCTCCTGACAGTGCAACCTTGTCTCTCACTTTGTGCACTCAGGACAAAGTCGACAAGCTGGGCGAAGTGATGCTGTCGCTGTGTTACCTGCCGACCGCCGGAAGGCTCACCGTCACCGTCATCAAGGCCAGAAACCTCAAGCCTATGGACATCAGCGGATCTTCCGGTCAGTTTGTTCTGACACCTCATATCAATGTATGAGGAGCGCAAGTTCCTCTGCTTCTTTTGAGGGGTTGTGGTGGCGTCAGAACGCCGATCTCTGATTGGTTTTAAACGAAGGATAGTGGGTAGACATCAAGGCAGCTTGCTTTGTGGTCTATCCACTATCCTTCAATGAGAAAAAATCGGAGCTCGGTGTCTTTCTGACGTCACCGTAACTCCTGCCCCAGAAGGAAACAACTCGCACTCCGCATTACTTTGCTCGAAGGCCGGGGATTGGTGCCTGCATTCTTCGAAGCACAAATGAGACCGATTACTATTATGTTCGGTTCCTCTCTTCCTACGCAGTCTACGTGTTTAATCGAGTCTGACCGGAGCTCGACTCCACTATCCGACGGTAGCCAATCACAAAGCGCCAAACGTGTGTCTTCATGGCGCTTGTTGTCTTCGTGGGTTTCAGCCAGACTTGTACCGTACGCATTACAAGTAATCAAATTACTTGTAATCGATTAATTTTTGGAGTAATTTTGTAATCAGTCGATTACTTTTACTGGGCAGTAATCACAAGAGTAATCTGATTACTTTTTGAAGTAATAAAATTACTTGTAACCGTTACAATTTGTCCACGGGGACCCCCCCCCCCCCCCCCCTCGGCACACGCCTTTTTTTTATGAAATGACAAATATATATATATATATATTTTTTTTTTTAACGAAAAAAAAAAGATTTTTGCGGAGCTGTAGAAAACGAGGTCAATATCGTTCTATGTACAGTTTCTGTGGAATGTCCGGTTTTTTTTTTTTTCGAGCTGGGACTGGGAGTGGGAAGCCCCAGGGAAGCCACAGTGCGTGACAAAGGCCATTCAGGGCGAAGTTTGAAGAAGCAGAATGTACCTTTGTGAGTCCTTCGTTCAAACTAGCCCCCTCCCGCACACACACAAAGAAACAAAACAAAAAAAATTAAAAAAATCCTGCTTAGGGTACCTACTCGCAACCCGTAGGAGAACTAGAACCGAAGAATGCCTAAAGCTGATGCAAAATATAACAAAGGCAGTTGAAATATTTCCCCATTTCCCCTACGTGGTCTTTGTGACAAGCAATGTTTCGAGTTGAGAAGTGGTCGGGGCGATCTCTTCCGCTAATGGATACTACACATGATCCGTTTCAAATCCTGGAGCTGCTGCTCTTTTATATAACATGCGAGCTCATCCACATATGAATAATAAAATGAGTGACGCAAACTTGAGCGACGCAAACTTTGAGCGACAACCCTTGCTCAAGCTTAACAAAATGTAGAACCCCCTCCGCTCCCCCCCCCCCCCCCCCCCCCCCCCACACACACACACTGGCGAACGCCCAAATCATTAAACGTCTTCAAACGATTTCTATGCTTGCGTCCGCATTGTGAAGGTGCGACGACCACAAAGAGGGAACCCGTTTTTTCTTCTCCAATACTTGTGCAAATGTGAAATATAGGTTGGAAGTAGTTCATTGTTATGAGCGCTAAAGATGTGTCTTCACACAATAAAGTAATCGGAAAAGTAATGATTACTTCTTTAAGTAATGTCCAATTACTTTTGCCGTCGAGTAATCAAGTAATCTAATCGAATACTTTTTAGCCAAGAGTAATAGTAATTGTAATCGATTACTTTTTTTTAGTAACGTGTACAAGACTGGTTTCAGCTAAATCAGTCACTCAGAGGGAAACAAAAATGCAGGGTCGCGGTGCAATAACTGTGTGTGCTTGGTTTAATCGGTGACAGCAAACGCACAAAGGCAATGAGGGACATAAAGATGCACTTTTTACGCTACTTGATTGGTTCATTCTAGTCATAGCGTCAGCCGCGGTCGGTCTTCAAGTAAAATGAAGTATATACTCGTATGCTAACACCTTATTATAATAGTCACTGGCGACTTATGAAATGCAGGGCGCGTTACATGCGTCTTGCTTCGCAATCTTTTTTTTTTTTCGCGTTCTCACTGGTTTTTGCTGAAATTTTATTGGTCTTTCTGTTTACAACAACTAAAGATGATTCTGCGTGTACCAGCGACTTCGTTTTAAAGTTGCGACGGCATTTCACCGACGCTTTACTAGACGTTCCCATAAATACTGTCGACGTTTTCGCGGTTAATTCTTCGGTTCAAGTTTTATCACTCACAGAACATTTCAAATGTTAGTCATCTCATAGGAAAGAGGTTCGTTACTAAAACAACATGTCGCCCTTTTCCCCCATTACCCTTCCCGCTACCTCCTCGCATATACTTCGTATCCACTCCCCATAATATAAATCGTTTGAAACTACTAAAAGTGATTTACACATGGACTATCTTATCAAAGTTTCACGGGAACACAGGAGCCCGTGACATGGGGTATTCTATCGGAGCACTCTATCACGGCCTGGCGGAGCGCAACTGCAGCACATCCTTAACCTTCACTCTATGTTTGCAGTGGCGCGCCTCGCCGTTAGAGTGCTCTGATTGTACACCCAATGCCACACACTCCCACACTCTGACTAACCGTGGTCGAGAGAGTAACTCCACCGGGGGAAGCAATCAAAATTGCGACGAAATTGTTTATCGAGATGTGAGACGATCTTCGAAGGTATATATAGTCACAGACATCTCAAGAAACGCGGGGCGTGTCGACTCCCATGCATCTCCTCCTCGCTCCGTAGCCAATGAGAATATCGTATCTCCCGATAAGAACGCCTAAGAACGAATCACGAAGCTTGAGAGGCGTAAAAAAGATAAGCCACACCGCGTGTTTATTCAGCCGATCTTGCACTGATAATACATCATACAAAATCCAGACTGCAGACATGGTTCGAGGTGTGTTTACTAACTCGTATGCCGGGTCCTTTCACACTGGCAGCACAAGACCATGTCAACGGAAATGTTCGAAACAAACACACGCATGAAGAAATCATTCTCGTGTATATTCCAAATACTTCTGTCAAAACTATCTGCAGAGAACTCCGTGTCTCATTTTATGATGTCTGAGCAGTTTGACTGCGGCTTTAGGCTGTTGCGTGATTCTATAGGCGTGAACATAAATCAACTCATCTCGACTTTCTTTTTGTTATTATATAAAAAAAAATGAAACATCTCATCTCTGAAGATATGGCGCAAGGGAGAAAACAATTCACTGTAGCAAGTTCAACGGCCGGTTGTTTGCATATAAAGCTAGCACTCATGCCGCTTATTGTGTTTTGCTTTTATCTAGAGTACGATTTCCACACCGAAACCAGACGCCTCGACCACGCTCTTATTAGATTAAAAACGCCAGTCATAAAAGCGGGATTTCGGAGGAACATTACGCGGAACGGCGTGCGCTAAAGCGACTATATCTGGAGTCACTAGTACTACTTGCAAACCAAGTTACAGCTCGAAAGTCGTTAGTTCTTTTTTTTTTTTTCTTTAGTGCGTTGAGCAATTACGAAGCGTTGAGGCGTTCAGCTTCAATCCGGATAGCCTTCTCTGCGGACAAATTCTGGTAGCTGCTACAGTGAGCGGAAAGGTTCGTTTTGAGTTTAAATGCTTGTGTTTAGTTTGAATGGAATATATCTACTAGCTCGGAAATTCACAGGTCTGGAGAAACATCCTGGGATGAGTACCCAATCGGTCTCTATTATGCCTGCAATTTCCTTTTGAGAACATAAAATAGGTTGCGAAATTTGATTGGAGAATCGTAGTGTACTACCAAATTTGGATTAGGTTCTTAGTTTATGTGAATCTAGCCGGAACTAAAGTAAGGTTGATGGGAAACGAAGGATGAGTGACAACTCAACCTTCGTTGTATACAATACAACATAATGTATCTGTACTGCTAAAGTAAGTGCTAGTTTTTGCTTTGTTTCCTGGAAGCTGGAACGTACAGTTTAGAAACTGGAAAGACAACAACATTAAGGAATGATGCACGTACAATGTTTCAATTGGGTTTCCATTTTTTGCGTATTATTTAAGGTTTGTAACATGCACTCACTTGCCCAACCATAAAGGTTCACTGAAGAGGAAAAGAAACAACCTTAATAAAAAAATAAAAATACAGCCACAAATGCGATTTTTTTGCTACCACATCTATCTTTTGTTAAACTTGAACTCCTTTTCTTTGGCAAAATATGATTTATTTGAAGGAGCTAATGCAGTAAAACTGGTAAGCCAGCTCGCTTAAGGTCCTAAAATGGTGTGCCTCATTTTGTTTCCTTGCTGTGGTCAAGACATTTGCATAACAGCATGTTTTATACCTTAAAACAAACAAATATCACACTATTTGTGATTAGGTAAAGATTTTGACGACGGTTTGTACATATGAATTTAAAATTAAACCTAAAAGTTGTCCAGAAACGTCTACCTACGGTAATTCCAAAGGTATTACAACGCGCTGAAAATATTTTTCAGGAGTCTTATTCACCACCCACCTCTTAAAAACGTGTTGGCTTAACTGGATGTAGTGACAATTCCAAGTCATTTATATAGCTCCAAATTTTAACTCATCATCGCTATAAAATTAACCGTTCAGCTTTTTGACATAATGATATTTAGCATGGGGATTAACGTAAACCTAAAAATTATATTTTGAAGTTTAATCTTTGAAACCTAGAGCTTAAACATCAATTTAACAGGCGTAAAAACGCACTTGAGAGAAAAGAAAAACATCTTGAAACAATCCTTATTCGCTTCCTACTTCGTATCCACTTGTTCGCATAACTGGCATGTCAATCTTAAACCGTGTCTTGCTCCTAGTGGTAATTTACGTGATAATTACAAAAACATAAACCGTCCAGCTTATTGACAATAACCTCTGCAGAATTCACAATGTCTTACACCTCCAGCTTCTGTTAAAACCTTGCATACTTTACACCTAAATGGTAAACACACAACACTTCAACAGGTATAACAACGCGATTAAAGAAAACCTCTTGCCGGCGTCCTTATTCGCCACCCTGAATTTGTCACACTTGCTCGCACTAGTATGCCAAGCTGCCAATCTCTCCCCAAAAGAGTAATTTATTTTCTTTCTGCCTCTTTTTCTTTCTATTTCTGGTATGCCAATCTTGAGCCATAAACAACTGCCGATGTTAAATTGATCAATGATTATACAAACACGAACCTTCCAGCTCCTTGTTAGCAGTCAATCCCAATGGTGTGACCTTAGAAAGCAAAAACCAAGAAAACAAGCAAAAAAACCAAGAAAGACCTTCAGTCTTTTAGGAAGTTCCCCAGGGACTCGCGAGTCGTCTCAAGGTCTCTGATCTTCGCGTCAGCCCCATTTGTCGTCGGACGTGACTCGTTACTTCTTACTTGACGAGGTCTCAGCCGGGGGAGCGGTTGACGGCTCCGGTCGGTGCTTTGTCGGAGACGTCAGCTACAGTGTTCTCGTCGACGGGACCCCTCGGTGCTCCTGCCACCGTCAATTTGTCTGTTAATATCACAGCCCAGTTTAAGTGAACGATTCTATACGATAACCGGGCAGGTACACACAGCTTAGAAAACGCAAGGCACAACTTAATAGCTTCACGCGTTTTTTTGTTTTTTGTTTTTTTTTCTTAACGTGCTTCGTTTATAGCGCTGGGTCGGCGGGGGAAGAGTCAGTCTTGTACGTGTCACTCGAAAAAAAAAAAAACACAATCGATCACAATTACGAGTACTTTCGGATAAAATGTATTCAATTAGATTACTCGATTACTTGAGAAGTAATTGATCGTTGCTTGAAAAACCAACCGTTATTTTTTTTTCAGTTACTTTAGATTTTCAATCCAACAGATTCTTCTGTCGGTTTGAAAACCGGTCTTTCGTTGGGTTAAAATCTTCGAACTAAAAACCACTTATCTTCTTAAGAACTCCTTGGCAGCAAATCCTGCACAAAGAGTACTACCGTGGGGATGGGGAGGGGAAAATAGCAACGGTTGGAAGTAAGTTTAGTTCTTCCAAAAGTAATCCGTCTACTCTGGCGATTACTTCATAATGAATGCATTCAAAGGACCATCAGATTACTAGAAAAAGCAATCGACTACAAGTAATTTAATAACTTGTAAGGATATACCGTACAAATTTGCTCCTAGACTCCGCTGTGGTTCGTCATAAGGTAAACGGAGATATGAAGAAGGATTGTGGATCGGCAAAAGAGGAGAAAAATGGTTGGGGGGGGGGGGGGGGGGGGGGGCACAGGAAGTACCGCAGGAAAGTCCCGTAGATCCAACAACGATATTGCACAACAAGAGTCTGTTGTCTTGAGATTCGTGCTGCTGTGTGCGGAACGGGCACTTTAGCCGGATACAGTCACACTCGTGGGATATGTGAGAAAACAAAAGGTTTATACACACATCACGATGGCTATAACGGGGAGAACGTCGTACATACGGAATCGCCGGTTCGGAGGTTTTCTACCTTGACGCTCGGCTACTGTCGTGTCCCAGCTAAACGGGGATGAAAAAACAAAAAGGAACGCGCCATCTGGACACCTTGCGAGGGGAAAGACCAGAAAGGACGTTGCCCAATGCCAACAAGAGGAAGACAGACCTGGCCTGTTGTTTCGCAAAGAAAGGAACAACCGCAGCCACAAAATAATCCTGTCGGTGGCGCCACCCGGATGTCTTTATATATATATTTTTCTTCTTTTTCTTCTGTCACTTCGGTTTCAGAAAGGTCAAGTCGCAGACTATGTCGTTATGGTGCCGTTCACCTTTTGGGCTTCGAATGTTACTATTCTTCGCATTACTTCGGAGCTGGTAACATGTGGTAGAAGCCGTACGTACGCGGACAATGTATATGTTGTCATCACCTTAGCCGAAACTTTCGCGAGTAATGTTACCGTCATCAATTCCTATTTTTATTGTATGTAAAAATCCTCTAAAAAAAACATCGCCGTTCATTTGGAAATTACTATATTACTGTCGCACGATGTCCTCGGAGTGGAGCAGATCTTTTCGTATGCATTTGCGCGCGCGAGACTGCGTGTGTTTGTGTGTTTATGTGCGTGTCAGTGTGCGTCTGTATCTGCGTCTGTGTATCGATGTATATCACAATGGGCAATGCGACATGCAGCTCCAGAGTGGATATATATTGACGTGAAAGGCAGTTACACGTGCCTACTGACATAAAGGTAAGCTTACGCATCCGTTCACGCCTACCACAAGCGAACCTGCGGAAGTGGCGACCAATTTGCTGCAGTCACACAGCCCGTACATCATTCAAAAGGCACGGAGTTCGCTCCAGGCGTAATAGGGAGTTTTCGGGAACCGTTTTTGTACGTCCGATGCGGTACACAATAGGGAGTTTTCATAGATCGTTTTCGCTGTCCCGCAAGGCCCTCCGCAACCCGCTACGATAGTGGAAACTAGAGTGCCTTCATGTGCGCTTCACATAGAGTGATGCCAACTGCCTGTTTCCCTTTCCCACACCCTCTTCTACCGCCATTTTGTTTCTCTCATTGTTTCCCCGTGCGCCGGAAGGTGGCCTTTGTGTCCATCGGTAATCATATCCGAGGGGGAAAATGCTAATCCTCCTTCCGTGGGTTCCACAACGCTGCTCCGAACTTCTGAGATAAGGTGCTTGTTTCCGGGAGGGTTATAAGCCCCACGGATTATCGCCGAGGAACAAAATGGCTGCTGGTTTGTCGGCGAGTGGCATTACAAAGGGTGGCATCACCCTAGCAAAGCGCACATGAAGGCTCCCTAGCGGAAACTCCGCAGTCAAAGCTATCGGCGCGCAGGCGCAGTAGCAACTTCTTCGTTGTAAAACGCTTAGCGGAGGAGGCAACGCGGTCTACGAAAACTCCCTAATGGCCCTCTTGTACGCACTGAGCGCGCGCTTCCGCACCGTATCGGACGTGCAAAAACGGTTCCCTAAAACTCCCTAATGACAGAGTATCTGCGGAAAAACCTGGAGAATTTTTGAAACACGTTTACTTTATTCAATTGTATGCTTGTCTGCATACAGTTTTTTTTACCAGTGCGATAGAAGTGTTATACGAGGAAAAAACACGCCTCTCGACAGTGTCTTTTACGTGATCTGTTAGCAGTGTGATCGCAGCTTAAACATTTCATTAAGTTAGCGAAGCTAATTTGGCAGAAGCAGCGTTAGAACTCCTGCATGCTCTGAAAGTACTCTGTAAACTTATTTAACGGACACGAATTAAACCCGACGTGAAATTAAGTACGCTTCAAGCTTAATGCGAAACAACCCTGAAAAAAAATTAAGCAAAGGGACTTCCAAATGCTCCAACATCGACTCGCATTAATCTTAAAACACTATAAAACGTAAATCTGTATCCCCCCCCCCCCCCCCCCCCCAAAATACAGCATACGACAAAATTGTGTAGGTCTTGTAGTTCATTGGTTTTATTTGGGGGCCAAACTAAGATAATCTCTTTAGTCTCTGCGACGCTTGAATCAGTGATTTTCCTTACTCTTTTGAGCGAGGGAATTCAGTGTTCCTACATCTGAAAACTAGATCTCTGATGAACTGTACCCTGTCCTGGCTTCGTATTCCCGCAGACCCGTACATCAAGGTGATCCTGGTGTGTGAGGGCAAGCGGATCAAGAAGAAGAAAACGAGCGTGAAGAAGTCCACGCTCAACCCGGTCTTCAACGAGGCTCTCGTGTTCGACGTGCCGCCCGAGAACGTGGACGACGTCAACCTCGCAGTCAAGGTAGTCGACTACGACAGGTGAGGAGTTCGAGGCGACCCGCCGCATAAAAATCTCACTTATTTGTAATGCTAACAGGGTTCAGTGTTCTCGAAGTTTCTTTCTTGCGCAAGTTTCGGAGGGGATTTCCTAGAGTTAGTTTATTTTTAATGTAAATTTGGTGGTTTTCGGCGTTTACTTTAATAAACTCTAAAGGTAAACTTGGGCGTAATCGAAGAGTTGCATTTTTTGTATTTATGTTGACTATGCAGAGGTATGAAATGAATAACATATTTTCCTAATCAGTGCCATCAAAATAGAAAAAAAACTTATTTTTATATGTATTTTTTATTTATTTATTATTCGGGCACCTACATTACCCGAAGGGAATTCTCGTAGGGGGGCAATAAAAGAGTGCGCTGTGGTAATTAGCATGATGTTTCACTCTGGTCGGATATATCACAGAGCAGGGTGTTTTAAACCATCTGCCAACCGAAGCGGATTGTCGAGGCAAAACATAACTGCGACAACAACGCTGTGATGCCTTTTTGTGGGCATTCAGTGGGCTAAAATATCAAGCTTATTACCCAACACCCGTACTCTGTGTCTTCTATAATTTTCGAGGACGTTTCGCAACATTATTGGTGGATGCATAGTCAGCTTCACTGTACGTTAGCTGTAGATAATACAGCGACGCGCAATCACCACAGCTTCTGAAACCAGCAACACTAAACAGAGGCGAAACTAAACAATCGACTTCCAAGCCCATAAAATTTATCTGCAAACGCCAATTGCTATCCTGTGTTATATTTTGGTTCTACATTTATACTGCTATTTCGTTTTGCCGTAAATGCTTTGAATGTTTTCCCTGACCTTACCTCGTCTGCGAGGCCGCCAGAATAGGTCGTGCATTACTTGATTAAGTCTACCTTTTTATTCGGGCTGCTTCTCTTTTTTTATGATGCAGTCCAGCGCCTCGTTCGGTTTAGTGCTCTTAGCTTTATAGGATCGCTTGTTTGTTCAGTTCAGGAATATTACGACCTCACGTTCCAGGGCGTCAAAGTGCCTTAAATGAACCCACTTCATGAGCACTTTTTCTTTTATTTGCGGTCTTTTTTTTTCTGACGCACTTCCCATAACTGCATTTCTTTCTTTTACATTTTACTAATCATTTAGAAGTACCGACAATGGAGAATCGGATACACTGACTTACATAATCTATCAAAATTTATGGTGCAAAAAAACCTGAAGGTTTGTGTACTTAGAAGACACCACTTGCAACTTTTTTTTTAATTCCACCATTTTACTTGCATTTTTGCATTTATCAATTTAAAAAACAAAAAGCTTGTCCGTTTTTTTTTTCTTTTTTTGCGCAAAAGTTTAGACAATGCTTTTCTTTTTTTTTTACTTTAGTGCATAAAGTTTTGTTTTATTAAACCACTTCAAAACATGGAACCTTGAAGTCTGGATGCCCATTGGTGACAAAAGACGTCAGCTACGGTGTCTGAAACGCGTCTTCGACTGGTGTGTTCAGCGTCCGGCTGCGCATCGACTTTCGTTCCCAAGTGGAAACAAAAGACGTCACAGGAGCCGCCGTGTCATATGCTGTCAGATGTCGGGATCCCGGCAATTGGTCTTAAAAGTTCCAGCAAAGAATTGCGAGCGAACGCGAGTGTCACTGTCCTCGCGGTGTCCATACTCCTGGCTGATGAAGCTTTCGCGGACTGTCAAACTGGAGAGCGAGCAACCTGCAACAGCACTGGCGCCTGTCGCCGCGTTCACTTCCGCCACTTAGCAACTATCGGGATCGCGACAGGCGACAGCATGAGACTTTCATGACGTTATCAGGTGAAAACCGAGTGACCGCGTTAAAGGACGCAACAAACATACCAGTCGGGGACGCGTTCCGGGGCACCATAACGAAACATCAGGTGCCGCTGATGTCTCTAAGGCGTTCATTCCTTTAATCGTAAAATTGCTTCCACTAATATTCGTGTTTTGTTTGAACTGTACAACAGGAAACCAAGGATTCATAGACTCTCTTATGAAGAATTTTTTTTTTCTTCGTGTCTTTTTCGCAGGGTTGGACCGAACGAATTGATGGGATGCTGCGCCGTGGGAACCTTAGCAGCGGGCGTGGGCCGGGAACACTGGCTGGCCGTCATGGACAATCCGCGGAAGCCAACTGCCCAGTGGTATCCCCTTGTGGACAGTCTGCCAGCAGAGCTCGATCCTCCCAGAACACCCTCCGTGACCTGTCTCAAATGAAGACAGCCTCAAGTCAACCCTACATCTTTTTGTGTCGATCCATCTTGGGACGACCGCCTGTCAACATTATCAGGTTGGCACCTAAAAGAGAGACGGCACGTCTTCTAGCGGCTAACCTTTAGAGAGAAACCGGTCTTCTGATAAACCTTAGGAGTCGACATCTCCACGCAGAGACGGCGGGTCTTCTGGTGGCTAACTTTGAAGGAGAAGCACATCTTCTGGTAACCTTCGAACTTTGATCTCTTCACAGGAACGGCAGGTCTCCTGGGAAGGATGTGGGGAGTTCAGAAGATCAGAACTGTGAAAAGCTGAGACTGGAAGGTTTTACAATCACAAAGAAGTTACAGTATTTGGAATGACACGAGGTACGCTCAAAACATTCCCAGTTTCAGACGCTGCGGTTAAGAAAGGCTGGTTGTGATGCAAATAATTGAAGGTGAAAGAGGGTGCTTGCTTCATGGACCTTGAGTACCAGATGCACTTGCGGCGGTAGCTGAACTACTCTGGCTGTTATAGCGCTCAGAGCCAGCATTGTCGTCAAGTCTAAGGATTTCTACTCGGAGGAGGTACCAATAGGAAAGGTGCAGGGCACAAATTCAAACCCTCGACATGTCTTCCTGGACGATGTGAAGTATAGAAGCAGTTAAGAAAGGCCTGACAATTGAACCGTGTTTAATTCCCCCGCATGACTTTCCTCCTTTTGCTGGTCGTGCTGTGCCCATGCAGCTCCTGGTTGAATACCATGTCCCCATAATCACATCCTTTTGCTGATTTATGGTCACCGTCTCGTTTTGTGAGGACCCTCAAAGATCGTCGTCTTTCACATTGTTGGCGCACCTGGCTGTCTTGTGACGTGTGTGCTCACCAGATGTCTTGACATGGCAGCATCGACTATGGTTTCCCGGCCGTCATGTCTTTCGATTTACCACCGCGTACGTGTGACGTGTGTAATTTATGAGGCGTATGTCAGACCTCTTCCAAATGCATTCATCCCACTCTTTCCTCAAATTCTGTCCAAGTCTTCGTGCTCTTTTAATGGTGTCTGATGCAGAGGTTCGGAGACTCATGACGGGTAATCGTTCCAGCTTTTCATTATAAGGGAGGCAAGCTAAGTTCCTAGCTAGGAACGTAATGTCGATAACGTTTCCGCTATAGCCCGCTTTGTTCGAGTTTGTCTAAGTCCGTACCTTAGTTTTGGTAATTAGTGCACTATTCCAGCTCTTATTGTGCTCAGTAAATAATTTGGAGCGCGTCTCAACCGTTGGGTGTTGTGAAGCATCTATTGCTTTTACCCTCCCGGGAAAGGGAATCACGTCGACAATGCAGAAACCCACAGAAAGCAATATAAAGCAAGGTATGTCAAACATTCATGTTCTCAAGAGAGAAAGAACTCAGCCAGATCGTTTCTATTCAATATGCATCGTACAACAATACTTTTTTTTTTTTTTAGTTTGGGACGAAGCATGCATGAAAATGAAAACCAATCATACCGCTCTGAGATTTTATTTGATGCTTGCACTATCAGTCCAGCAAAATGCAGTCCGTGTCTCATAAAAAGTGTTTGCATCCAAGCATTCAGAGATTCTTACACGAGATGCCGCACTCTTCGTCATACCCTTCGCAAACACCTTGTGTGTGAGTGCATGTTAGTTCTCTCACTAGTTGTTCTTTAAATTACTGTCTTTACTACGACTTCCTCAGTGTCATGGTGCACAAAAATTACTGTGTCCTCAGTCATCTTGCCCTGTTCACTACATCGTAACTGTTGATGTTCGGGTGTCCATGCACATTGTACAGTCGCATTCATTTTGTTCTGGAACGCCGCGATACCTGTTTTTCCGCGTCGGGCTTGAGTGTTCCGAAGCAATCACTGGCCACACAAAGGCATTTTTGGAAAACGCATAAAATGGCCCTCTTTTTTATACACCCGTCTCTGTTGAATTTTCCTGTCAGATCTAAACGCTGGATGTTGAACAGTCTCGTGAAGGTTCGGCAACACTGTACTTCGCTTCAAACGAAGTCCAACAACAGTACACGCTATGATGCAATGGAATCAATAAATCAACGTTGTCTTTGTACGCTTGGTATCATCGGCTAAACTGATCATGTACACTGAATGCGCCATGAGCATGCGCTTTTGTGGACGCCGCCATTTTTGTGCTTGTTACGGAATGAGCGGAATTGGCCATCGTTGCGATTCTAAAATACGACTTTTCGATCTCCACCTGCGGTGTCCGAAAGCTCGAGTTACGTATGGTCGTGCTCTGTCGGAGACCGTATTAAAAAATTCTGGAGGTCGGAAAAGCGTCTCCTGCAATTTCACATAACGCAGGAGAGAGCTGACAACACTGATTTTAAGCACCAACATTGCTAAAGGGTCCGTACTCTGGTGCATAGCTTGCTTACAGTGGCGCTATAAGAAAACTAGTCAATTGCATCCACACGTGACACGAGATCCGCCGAGATGAGGTTATTGAGTGGCCATAACAACCACTGAAATGTACATACATAAAGCAAACAATATGGCGGTTGTATTTAGGATTGTGTTATAATATAGGGAGCCTACGAACGTACAGTACATATCGTCAAAATTTAGCTATCGCGCTCCAGATTGTTGCAAGGATGTCCCATGGTGACACTCATGTGATTGTTTTGTGTGTACATATGCCGCAAGAACGTGTGACTAAAAGGAGTGATCACGCTTCTTCGCGAACGGCCTTAAGTTTACGGCCCAATAAATTCGTAAAAAAAATACATAAAGTAGCAAACCCGCTGCAGTCTGAGGCACCATCCTCCCATCGTAGAGCCTTCATCGATGCACACCAATGTTTTGAAGTTTGGCGCACGGTGTAACATCGTTTTCGTCTACTTCGTTTATTGTACTTCATGATGTTTTAATATGACTGTATAAATATGTGTATAGATATATACGGAGCGTATTTTATGCTTGTTCTGTATCGCGAGACGTCTTCTTGAATGTTCCTTCAAGGACGTATCTATGATGAACATGTTATTTTTCGTACTTAAAAGCAATGGCATTCGGCGAAAGAGGAAACGCGCATGGGAATGGTTGACTTGAGGTGTTGTATATTTTTCGGAATGGCGTGACATGAACATTGAGCCGACCTTTGGAAAGTGATGTACTTTGAAGCGTGGAGAATAAACACAGTTTATTTTAAACGTTTCCCCAGTTTTCTTTTTGCTGTTTTAGTTGTCTGCGAATGCGGATAGTTTAGTAAAGTTGGATCAGCATTTTTTTAATTCTTAACTTAGATGTAAGAATTTACTTACACAACTTTAGTGCGGAGACACTTGCGGCTATGAGCTTGGCATATCCTAAAGTTGGAAAACAATTAATGCGACGCACTTCTACATTCCTGTCATATTGGCACCAAGTTTTCAAGAGTAAGAATATTTTGCAATAAAAATTAAAGCTCTCTGTTTTTTGTGCACTAGGTATACTAGACTTCTCCAGTGTATAAAAGAATGAAAATACCTGAGCCTGCTCTTCTTGACTATAACCGATGAAAATCTGCAGTAAGGATTTTATGCGCATGCTAACAAGTGCATTGCGTACTCCTGAAAATCGATTCGCTGAAACTATAAGAACGTTAGATATTTTTAAAGAGCTTGACTTTGTATATGGGAAGCCGCGCAGCACGTGAGCGCGAACATTAAATCCGCCCTTGTTTTAATTTTACTTCAGAAGATGTACCGCTTAGGTGAGTGTGTTAAATCAGCACGTTCTATCACATTAGTAGCCTTGACACCTGTCCTTTAATAATATGAGTACACTCGAAAAACCGGTGTCCGCTTGTTCGCGCTAACAACGTCGCCCAGTGTGCATTTAACAGGCATTTAACAGAACTAGACACGAATTTAATTCAGTACTGTTGTAAGAAAGTAACTTAAATATTTCTTCGGCGTATTTCAATCCAGTTTTAGAACGCTCCCCATATGTTTTATTCCTATTTTTAAGAAACAAAAACGACATGAGGTCGCTTTACCTTACTCAAATATGGCAAAGGAGAATCAGTTAATTAGGTGCAGTTTTTCCCGGAGCTCTTTTTATGAGGGGCTATATACGCCTAGAACGTGTCCTCGGTACGACCTGCCGCAGACAGTCGGGATAAATGGGCGACTGTCTGTTGTCGACTCCAGCGAAATCAGGCACCTTGCGGCATAGAACAGAAACCTGTAGAGGCAAGTTCACCCTCCAGCTTTCTCGAGCAAATCAGATGTCCGCAGCACCTGGCGGTCAAAATGTGAAGCTATGAAAGTGGGTTCACAAACACGTCATTAAAAATCGACAATAACCACTACATGAAGACGACGGACTCCAAGTCGGAACCGGGATGCGACAAGTAGAAACGTGAGCAAAACGCCTAACCATTCCTACTCTGCATGACGCCACTTCTCTGGCGAGCAACCATCAGCGAGAAGACAGCTATACACCAACACGTGGCACTGACGTGCGAATCTGGTTACAAACGCAGAGTGTTTCTGTTCTTTTTAAAAGCGTTATGGTCTGCACTCGCTGAGAGCTTAAAGAAAGCATGGGGCGCCACTTATGATATGCACGCTATTTGCTTTCTGACTTGTTCTTCGGCGTGCTTGTTGGCCTATGTCGCAATTTTATTGGCTTCGGAGCGATAATACGAAGCTCGGGGATAGCAACGACCTGATTTTTGTTTAAGCCGACAATGACTCTATATAGGTTGGGTGCGCCACTTCCGGCCGCCATGACAGGGGGAGAGAAATACTTCCAGTTCTCCTATGGTTCACCTCGTGTTCGGGTGCGGTGCGCGCGACGACTCTAGGTTCATTCGCGAGCAATGCCGTGAGAGTTGAGCTCTATACAAATTCTTCATTGTCGTGTTTTAAAGTTGCCGATGCGTAACGGCACGCAGAAAATGTTAGAAGTAAACTTGTTTTCATTATTGCCAGAGGAGGGACGTATACCGACGCCACGCCAGCTTGGGCGATCGCAGGACGACGGCATTGGCAGACGGTGCTAGCGATGTGCTGCCGACAGATGACGCAACGGGACAGGCTCGAGAATGTAGTACCGCGAAATCTCGACCTACCATCTCCGCACAACGATGGGCC